TTCATGTAGAGCACGTAAATAGCTACAAATTTTGTATATACATCAACAATTAATTGGATATTTTCTTCAATACTTTTCAGCACGTAGTCACTTATTATTAGCATTGTTCCTCCAATGTCTGATTTCTTTTTTAATTATAGGAAATGCGTTTTTCTAAGGTACATGAACCTTTCGAATTGACTGTATAGCCAATACATCCTTAAACCGCGTTAATCATGTATTGCAATAGGCATGAAATCAAGAATGCAGTCGGTTCGTTTATTAATAAATACAAACAGACAAACAGCAGTCGTGAGATTTGGTTGTTTCGACGCTGTCTGTCCGTCGATAGGAGTGATAAAAGTGTATCTGCTTAGGAAATTGATAATATAAAGCATATAGTTTCTAATTAGGGCGGCGTAAGAGCACAGAATGTAATATAGAAATAACAGTATATATATATATATATATATATATTCTTAAGTTTCGTACTTCAAAGTCTAATGGTTTATATTATTAAGTATACAAAATTGTACAAATTACGTAATGTAATTTAGCCCCGCTGATCAACGTCTTTGAAATTGTAATCATGGAAAGTTTGTAAATATTACAATTTTCCAAGACGTGTACGTGTAAGGAAACTGGTACTACGCGTGTACAGGCGATGTACGTCCCGAAGTCCCCTCCTATGCGTCGCTAAAAAATCTGATATCCTTCGACATCTATAATTTATTTACCTTTATTCTACGAATCGTTTTCTAATCGCAGCTCTATGTAAAAAGTTTTAACCGATCGATGAATCCGAGCTTCGATGTACATAAACAATGCTCGTCGCGTTTGATATCAGATTTGGAACGATGCTAATTTTAAGATCGTATACCCAGAAGGATGAATGTATATACATGTCTGACGCATGTACCTTTCAATAAATATTACGGTTTACATTAGTAACGACATTTATTGAAAAAAGAAAGCATGTATGTACAACGGGAAGTCTATCAGAATTTTATTATTCTCTTCGGCTTCTCTCGTTCTTTTTCTGTACTCTGCGTCTTCTCTTCCAACGATTCTAAATTCCCATTCGCGATCGTGTCCACCGTCACGGCGGTCTCTTCTTTTTCTCTGATCAAGTCCGGGCAATCTTTTTTTAAATGCGTCACGTCGCCGCAGACTTTACAAGCGCCTCCTTGGGGATAAACTCCTCTAGGATTGTCTGGGCATTGTTTTGCGATGTGCCCCTGCTCCCGGCAGATGAAACAAGTCGCGTATCGGAATTCCGTTGGCTTCGATACTCGGCATTCGAAATGCGTGTGCTCTGTAGAGCCGCACTTGAAGCAGATCCCAGTGGCGGCTCGTTCGGATCCTAGCTCTGGACAATCGGAGAGATTGTGGCCAGCCTTGCGACAGTGGAAGCAGACGCATTTTTTTATCCTGGTTAACGCCTTCTCCGCCTTCCTCCGCTCCAGCTTCATCGCCGCGTCTACTTCCTTTTTAGGAATACCTGAATCAAAGAAGAAACGATGAGGAAGTTTGAATATTAATGTAAGAATTTATTGTAATACCTTTCATGATCATTTTTTGTTTCAATTCTGTCAGTCTCTCCGCGTCCTCCTTTTTTACTGGGAAACCGTCGAACTTTACGATCTCTACTTCCATACCGTTGATCATTATTTTTGATGATCCCAAGTCTGGTTTGCGTCTTTTGTGAACCTTATCGTCGCGAATCTTTGCTGGTTTTTTATTAAACTTCTTTGCTTTATATTTGTTCTGAAAAAGGTTTGAACCTCTTGGAAAATCTTTATTAAATTCGCGTTTGATGTTTGAAGTTAGAACTGAGTTTGAGTTAGTAGAATTGTAATTATTATCCTCTGAAATAGTGTTTCTGTTTTTCTGTTTATTCGCGTTGAATTCTATTCTGTCTTTTGTAGTATTTTTCTGTGGCTCAGTTTCAATACTTCTATCATTCTTTTCTATATTCTTCGTTTTGTCTAGTGTTCGTTTTTTGGTTTTCCCTTCTGGTTTATGCAATGATTTATCCTCTTCACGTTTGTAGTTACCATTCTTATGAGTAGAACTGTAACTATTATCCTGTGAAGTAGTGTCTTCACTTTTCTGTTTATCTTTCGCATTGGTTTCTGTTCTTTCCGTTGCAGTATTTTTCTGTGTTCCATTTTCAATACTTGTATCGTTCTTTTCTGTATTCTTAGTTTTGTTTAGTTTCTGTTTTTTGGTTTTCCCTGGCGTTGAATCTCCAGTTTCGTTTATGTTTCTCTTTTTGGATTTAGTATTCCCTTCTGGTTTATTTAAAGACTTTTCCTCTTCGTGTTTTCCTCCTTGAATTTTATTCAATCCTTTCTTGTTCTTCTTTGATTTCTTGTTTTCAGAATTCTCTGGGAATTCCGCCCACGAGTTTGAAACTTTAGAATCGTTCCCTTTGGCAACAGTTTCTAATAACTGTTTAGCGGATTTAGTTTTCTCTGAGGATTCTTGTGTCTTGGATAAATTCTCTTGTAATTGCTGTTTCATTACATGCCACGGAGTGGCTTCGTTCGGTAGTCTTTCGTTCGATGCCTTAGATCCTTTAGCTCTGGCGAACCGAGTCATAATATAATAAAAACTTAAAGCGTTCCTGTTAAAGATATTAATTATTATTAGGGTACGTGATAGAATTCTGTTTGATAATAACGTGACGTAACCTAGCGTTATTATACAAACCTGAAGTAGTTTCGCTGTTCGATTTCCACAGTTTTTGGTCTTACGAGTTTATTCGTGATAAATGCAAGATTAAGTGTACTTAAAAGTTGCGTAGTTTGAACAGAATTTTTATGAGTTTTGTTTAAACCATTTTGAGGTTAGATATTACACTAGTTGTCGCAAGCAAAGGCACGGCGGAAGTGAGATTGCAGTACTCGTTTCTATGGAATTGAACGGAATTTCAGAGACGGGCTTAGGAAGAGTGCTTACAAAATTGCATACGACGTTTTTTGTAAGCTATAGTAGTATTTACAACTTTTATTTGAAGCATTTGTCGATTCTTTTTCATTTGTTTTAGATATCTTTCAGTCAGGACTTCTAGAAACAGTGGAGACAGAGACAGCGTCAGCAATTCCTATGGTACGTCAGTGATAAAATTAACAGTGATGAATTTGTAAGTAGTACTTAAGCAATCCTCATTGTAAATTATTATTCATTTATAATTAACAGTTATAAATTTATAAGCAATCCTCTTTGTGAATGATTATTTATTTATAATCAACAGTTATAAATTTATAAACAATCCTCTTTGTGAATTATAGTATATCTCTTAGAGTTTAATTAATAAAGAAATAGTTTAAACAACATTATTTAATTAATCTACACGACACGTGCACACTATACATGCCATATGTCACTCGTTTTGCGTCTACTGTGCGCTCCACGTGCGTTCTATGCTACCTGCGCTCTGATTGGCTCTCCCGTATTTCGCGAATTTTCGTGGCGCCATCTAGCGGAATCGGCTCGAAATATACACTCTGTATTAGGCGAATATAAAGTGATAGGAGGTTCCACTAACTCCTCGTGTGACGTCAGCAGCAGCGTATACGCCCTTGCGCATCCATTTGAACAACCAATCACGGTCGCTTTCATTCGTTGGCCATTTTGGATTTCTAACCAATCAGAATATAATCGCGGACGCTTCACTTCGTTGGCCATTTTGTATTTCTAACCAATCACGCTTCTCATATTAGGAGAATATGAATCAAAGGAAGCACCACTAACTCCTGTTGCTTACGTAACACGAGGAGTTAGTGGAATCTCCTATCACTTTATATTTGCCTAATACAGAGTGTGTATTTCCAGCCNACTTAAGACTACTTATAATTAATGTACAATGAAATAAAACGCTTGCACCTTGATCATGCACCTCGACATAAGGTCCTGGAGGTCTTCTTTTAACGCTGAAGTTGTAAAACTCGTCAGGGAAGGTAAGGATGCAAAGGAATATGATATTCCTTAACTAGGAAGCGTTCAGAACTACTGAAGCAATGGAAGCTGTACGATAATGAAACATTTTTGAAACAGGAAGAAAGCATTGCTACACTTATAATAATAATACAATTCTCCTCTGAATTTAATTTCTATTGTCTATTAATCCCTTAATTATTATTAACAATTATGACCATGAATATCAGAAATTAATAAAAATGTATGTATACATTAGAATGACTCAGTCGTCGGACGATGCCAGGAAATAGAAGGGGATCGAGATTAGTAACGTGACTGATCGATATTATCTCTCACTGATAACAAAAACGCGGAATATAAAAGACCCTTCAGGTATTTCATACCTGGAAGTCGGAGATTATCGGTGCGTCCGAGAGTGAACCATGTTGTACCTACTGTTCTCTTTGTTGATAATATTCTACGTATTAAGAGACCTGATCAACGGACGGAGGAATCGGACCCAGGCGAATTCTGACAATAATCATGTGAAGGAGGTAATAGAGTCGATGTTCGTTCGAAAACAGAACCGTTCCTGGGAAACTGTTATATTTGTGAGTGCGCAGTGATAAACGTCGAAACATGCTTCTTAGTGTTCAACCAGAGGTGAACTTACGGTATGCACGTTGCGATTGTGATAATAAAACCAGAAGGTGAGATATTTCAAATAATTGTACAGACGTAGGGAAAGAATAATAATTCTCTGCATTCTTAGTAACAGACTGCGGATTCTCA